AATTCATAAATAGGGCAGAACATTTTTTTTTTTAGTCCCTTGCCTTTTTTTTTTTTTTTTTTTAATTTGCCTTTGCTTGCCAGAGAGAGGGAGAGAGAAAAAGCATTTTAGAATGGGATGTGGTGAGCTGCAATCCCTTTTCCTCCACTCAGAAAGAAGTGACGTAGTTCTGAATTAAGCTGATAGATGCCCACTGATTTGGTCAGTGAGACTGTTAGATTTGAAAAGTCCCTGGAGGGAATATAGCTAGTACCCTTTTATTTCTCAGCCCAAAAGTGGATGAAAAATTAATTCATTAAAAAGTGAAAAATAATGGGAACCAGCAGTTAGCATAATGGCTATGTTGCTGGACTCCCACATAGCCAACCGCAGTTTGCCTCCCGGACCCGGTGGCTTAAAACTCACACTGGGCGTGTGTGCGTGCGTGCCCAAGATCCCGAGAGGAGAATGGAGGAGAAGGGATTGCGGCGTGACCATCCCCCCTGGGGGGTGATTTCTCGCTTTCTGTCTCTATGTCTCTCTCTGTCTGTCTGGCGAGCGCACACACCCTATAGCAAAAATCTCTCCAAGAAAAAAAAAAAGTGAAAAATAACAGGAAGCGTTACCTTTGAAAAACCGAACTTCATCTCTGTCAGAAACTTCATACGCAGCGTCAAGTTTATTTGGAAGAGTTGGCCAGAAAACAGAAATGAAATTAAGCTCAACTTCCGGGTAGAAGGAATTTGTGCGCATGTAGAACCTGATTTGAAAAATTAAAACAAACAGTTTTGACTTAATTGCTAGCAATCTCTGGCACCCTCTTGCTGTTGGCCTGACTGGAGGCTGGTAAATGACTAACAGGTGGCTTTCCAAAAGGAGGCGAGGAGGTGGGGAAAATCACAGTTTGTTGCATTTGCTTATTTGCTGGGTTGAAGTAGTCTCATCACAGCAGAGCACCACAGTATAGTATTTCCGCCATACACATACAATAAGTATAAATAACCGCAAATACATAAAGAGTAAAAGTAGTTAAAGTTAAATGAGGGAGTATGGTGAGTGATTTATTTTATTACTTTTGGGTTTAATATATTGGGTTGTCAGAAGAGTCAGGACACATTTTTGTATAGAAACACACAGAAAAAACATTATGACTTCTCTGACAACCCAATAGCTTACCTCTGTTTATATAACAACATGTTCATAATGGCTATGGTTCACAACTGACTTGGAAAATGCTTCAAAATCTCCAAGTCAGCTTTGGTGAGCCATTAGGAACCACCTGCCCACCCGACTGCTTGGAACACAACATGAAGAACCTGCCTTCGGGGAGCACATCCATGAGGCCCTTTACCTTCAGCGTCATTTATCATAAAAATCCTGTACGAGAGAATTACTGCCACCCCAGGGATGAGAAAGTGTAATCATGAAGACAGAGGGAGGTGTCTAAGACCACACAGCTACTATGATAAAAAAGGTTCATTTTCAGCTCAGCTCTGGCAACCACTGGCTTTGTCATCCTCAGGTGAGTTGTATACAGAGTTGATTCAGTTATTCATAAGGACTAGGATAAGACATGGTTCAGACTATCACATGAACTGGAAGGAGAGTTTTCCAGATCCTGGCTGCTAAAAGGGCCATGGCCTAAGAGTCAGAAGCCTGACTTCTGGGTTCAATCTTGCCTCTGAGGCCATGGGCATGTCACTATCTCTAGGCTTCTGCGTCTTCCTGTCATGGTATCATTTAAATGAACTCAGTGTCCTTTCAGTCCTGGCAATTCTACCATTGGTCTTGTTCCTTGCTCAGATACTTGCATTGGTAGGTGGGTGCCTCCTATCATACGGGAGCTTTCCTTTAAGTTTCCTTAGCTCTTTCCAGCAATAACACATGCCCTGTTTGGTTTACATCCAGGCTTATTATGCACACCCAAAAACAGTAAAGAAGATGACAAGTATTAGGAGCCAATGCCCTGCATTCTGGGATAGATGAGATCACGAAGTACTGAAGAAGCACCAATAGCACTCACAGCGAGCAATTAAGAAGCAAGCCCTCCTGACTGCCCCATCCTACTTGCTATGTGCTCATTCTCTGGCTTCTCCTGTGCATGGATCTTTCTGGGGACTGCGTCATTCACAAAAGACAGTGTTAATATTTTGCCTGGTCCTTGGGAATCACTAAGGTATGGAGTGCAGGTATGTTTTGTGTGTGTGAGGAGACCCCGATCTTTTTGAGTCCATGTGCAGCAGAAGTTCTAGGATCCTTTGAGGAGAGAAGCACTACTTTTTGGTTGCCTGTATCTGAGAGGGAAACGGATTTTGGAGGGTTGTCCCCACATTGACTTTTTTCTCTTCTCTGGGCCTCTAGGGGGCAACACAGAACCTTCACCATCACAAGCTTTATGAGAGTCATCTTTTCCAGGATGGAAGAGGTAACACTTAAAGGGCAGCTATGCAATCCTCACTGGTATGACGATGCTATGGGAAGAACCAATTCTTCCTCTTTCTTTTTTTTTTTAATTGCTAGATCGTGCATGAGCTCTTCAGAGAGACACAGAAACAGAGAGAGGGGGTAAAGAAAATAACTTCCCAATGTGATGTGGTCAAGCCATAATCTCTTCTCCTTCATGTCTCCATCCTGGTGGGACCTGGGGCATGCATGCACATGTACCCCAGCATAAAAACTGATTACTCTTAATAAAGATGAACCTACTTATATCATCATAAAGAGTGGTGTAACAGAAAGAGCCTGGAAGTGAGGTCAGAAGACCTGTAACTGCTCTGTCACCAGTGGGTTTTATGCCCCAAAAAGGTGTCTTTGTTCCTCTCTGCCTTACTTTACCAACCTATATAATAAGATTATATTCACTGATTTTCTACTTCAATGGTATTTTTTTTTTCAGACAAATGACCTAATCCATGTGAGAAAACAAGTTGTTATAAGGTATTAGGTTGTTCAAATGCAAGCGATTGCATCCAGATAATTATAAAGGTAAACAAACATGAGATAAATAACATACAAAGCATAATAGTGGCCCAAAGTAGTGAATTTTCTTATTTTCACAAATCCAAAGCACAAAGAACAATTGATGTCTTACCTGTCTTTCAAGAACATCATTTCTCCCCGAATCGTAGTTATAGCATCAAAGGTTAGCTTACTATCACATGCTTGTGGGGTTTGGGGGCCTGTTGGCTGGGTAGGATTTTGGGAAGGTCCTAAAACAAATAAGAGACTTGGAGTTAGTTTTGCCTAGTGTTGAAAAACAAACCACAGGAAACAACTTCCAAGTGAAAGCTAATGGCTGCTTTATTCAGAGAAGGTTAAAGACCAGCAGACCCTTGACCATGGTGGTTTTCTTTATACGTACCATATATGGCTTGGATGCCATCAATGTCATCCTGAGCTAGCTCGACATCACCATTGAAGATGTAGTTGGGATACATCAAAGCTCCAATATCAGTAGAATGGGAGAGCCCCAGGGAATGACCCAATTCGTGAGCCGCAACACGATATAAGTTATAATCTAAAAGAGCCAAAAACCCTGTTGTGAGTACTGAAAGCAAATTTAATTTTGAGGCATTTAATTAAGAAAAAAATCTACAACTCTACAAGAACTAAATGCTTGTATTTCAGTGACTTTCTGAAACGTACATATAACTTTTTTCAAAGGTGGGAGGTATGCATTTGTTAATAATGAAGATGCATGGCAAAGACCCAACTCTGTGACTACACTGATAAAATTAAGAGACAAACTCAGATTTCTGAGAGTCTAGTAAAGATCCATCAACCTGTTTATGATTTAGATGGCACATAATATTGCAATAAGGCAAGAAAGTTCTATTAACATTTCATCTTTCATTTACAAAACTAATAAATGCTCAATGCTGGAAATTTTGGAAAACACAGAAAGCCTTTCTGCCCCTTAATTTACTTAGAAGCTTACTGCTACTGTTAAGTTTTGGTGTGTCCTTCTAGTAAAGGTATTCAATGCAGTAGACAACTAAACTATTAAGGTTTTTTTTTTTTTTTTTTTTTGGAGAGGTTTTTCGCTATAGGGCGCGTGCGCTCGCCAGACAGACAGAGAGAGACATAGAGACAGAAAGCGAGAAATCACCCCCCAGGGGGGATGGTCACGCCGCAATCCCTTCTCCTCCATTCTCCTCTCGGGATCTTGGGCACACACGCACACGCGCCCGGCGTGAGATTTAAGCCACCGGGTCCAAGACGCGAACCGCGGTCGACTACGTGGGAGTCCAGCGACATAGCCATTACGCTAACTGCTGGTTCCCAAACTATTAAGGTTTTAAACACTATTTCTTTTTATTTTATTTACCAGAGAGCATATGCATTCACCAGAGAAAGCACCCCCAGTGAGGCATGGTCATATTTCAATCCCTTCTCCCTTTCTCTATCCTGTCCAGAGTTCGAGCATATACCACACATATGCCCAGCATGTTTTTCAAGGTGGCAAATCTGAAGTTCCAAACTGTGGTTGGTGGTCATGTGGGATCTGAGCTATGGGCTGGCCTTTTCAACATTTTCTTTCTTTTTTTTTTTTTGGAGAGGTTTTCACTATAGGGTGCGTGCGCTTGCCAGACAGACAGAGAGAGAGACAGAGAGACAGAAAGCGAGAAATCACCCCCCCAGGGGGGATGGTCACGCCGCAATCCCCTCTCCTCCATTCTCCTCTCGAGATCTTGGGCCTGCACGCACATGCGCCCAGCGTGAGTTTTAAGCCACCGGGTCTGGGACGTGAACCGTGGTCGACTACGTGGGAGTCCAGCAACATAGCCATTATGCTAACTGCTGGTTCCCAACATTTTCTTAATAGACGTTTTAGAGTGGTCTATTTGTCACCAGTAAGATATTCCACTAGCAGAAATAACCCATGTTACACTTTTCTACCTGTATCATAAATTTTCTGGGTGGTCATGCATTCTTTCCATCAGTGTTACAATGGACTACGAAGGGTTGGGGGATTTAAGAGAAGCAGAATTGGCTGACTTACCTCTGAAATTGTTGGTCCACCTTTCATCTTCATCAAAATGAGCATCGCCTCCGATACCTGGGCCTGGCTGAAAAGCATGTGCGAGGTTCCCTCCTGGTCCATCAAAGGGAGAATTGTCACGATGATCTGCCAAGAACAGAATACAATGAAGGTCCCTTTTGGTTTTTATTTAGGCTAACCCAGATGTGCAAGCATTGGCTTTGCTCACAGGCAAACAAACGTGTATTAAAAGTGATACGGTTTTTCTGCCTAAGCCCACAAAATCAACACTGCTCATAAGTCAGGAATTCTAGCTGCAAAGCAGAAGAGATTTAAGAGCAAAGCGAAGGTAAAGTGCAAAGACCAATGCACAGAAAGAGCTCACCTCCTCTGACAAAGGATATCATTATGTCTGCTTGCCCATCAAAGACCTTGGTGAAGGTCAGGGGCGAGACATCACTCCAGAGTTCAAAGGCTTTCCTAATGGCACTGTCCACATCGGCTCTCGGCAAGTCTGGTGTGTAGTTTTCAATCCTTAGAATGAAATAAATTAGGCACACATCAGCCCTTGTTGCCTTTTGCTCTAATAAGCGTGTTCTCACTCTGGTGCTCAGTCTAGTTACCTGTAGGTCAGGTGTGTTCGCTCCCAGCGAGGGTTCCCCGGAGTGAGGGCAAACCGAGCCAGATCAGGCACGCCACATCGGGGCTGCTTCATCATCTTCAGGGTTTCAGCATCTGGCTTCCCAGTCACTTTCAACCCAAAGAATTCCTGCATTTGCTTCAATTTTTCAACGACTAAGCCACTGTTTCTTTGCTTTTCAATCTGCTTCCCATCACTCTTCAGGTCGTAGTAGTTTTCCAGGTATTTCTGATAAAAGATAAAGTTATTGACATGCTAAATGTGCAGTCTTCCTCATTTTTCTAAAAAAAAAAAACCTGGCAGCATAAGGTTTTAGCCAAAATGGAGAACTGTTTTGAAAATTCGTGTTTTAGATTTCATGATCCTATTATTCTTTCACTGGAAAGAAAACTGGTGGAAAACTGCAGTTTCAGAGTAGCAATCTCCCTCCCATCAACTACTGTGAAGCCGGAACTTCATACAGAGGGAGATTTGCACACCATTCCTTTAGTTCTCACTTACCTTTGGAAAAAGAGAGTCAATGCATAGCTATCCCTCCCATCAACTACTGTGAAGCCGGAACTTGATACAGAGGGAGATTTGCACACCATTCTTTAGTTCTCACTTACCTGTGGAAAAAAGAGAGTCAATGCCTAGCTAGACATGATTTGGGGGACGGTACTGTTTCTTACACACACAATTGTGGGCAATTCTCCCTTCAATACACTTAATTATATTTCTATGGAAAAATAGAAATGAAAGACTCTTGCGTTTCTGGCACATATGATGTGGCATTTACCTGGACTGTCTCTACATCCTGCTCTCGTATTTCTGGACTTGCTGGGAAGCCACGAGACCCGACGCCCCAGAGCAGGAGCAGCAACAGAGGAAAGCTGGGCATGCCGACCTGTGTCTTTCTTCTCAGTGTGAGACAAGTGCTGGCTCCTTACCTGCCTGCTGCTCCAACATCTCGGCTAGGATGCTCCCTCTTTATATAGTATTCTTGCACTTCCAGAAAGCCGGAAGCCGTCTGACTCACGTTTCATAACATCCTTTTGATATGCGATGAATAGCCTGAGCAATCATCAAAAACAGTCCCTCTAGCAGATTATTTGGGTTTGCTCGGTGTTGCAATTTCATGAGTAATATCAAACAGGACGTGTTAGAAGGAGACACACTCCACCGTGTAAACAGTTTTTCTCTCCACTTCACTTCCATCCCGCGTGAGAGAGGCCCCTGTTACATGCACAGGTCACAGAGTACTCCTTGGTCTTTTTTTAAAAAGGATTTTATTGCTCGATTCTTCTGATCATGAAGTGCTCCAGATCTCTGCATGCACCTTGCTCCCAGGGCAGAGGGTAGAATTACTAAGACGTATGTTGCCTGACTCAGCACCTGCACTGACGGAAGCTCAGCTCCTCAAGCACTCACTTTGGCTCTCCCTGGTTCTCAGAGGTTCTCTTCTGCCTTTGCTAAGTTACCCAGTAGGCTATTGCAATAGTGCTGACGTTTCCCCTGCTCTTTAAGCAGGCCTAGAATTTCAGAGCCTTGCCTAAAAAGACCCCTCATCACGGGTGGGATGGACCTGCCTGGGTAGACTCTGTCCACCAGTTATCATGGGACAAATAGAATCCTTCTCCAAACCTGCCAGAATGAATGAAGTGAGGCAAGGGCTGGCAAGACACCAAGAGTGACTCTAGGGTCTTATTACTATTTTAGGGTTTTGCCATAGGAACGTGTGCTTACTAGAAAGAGACCGAGAGGGAAAGTGAGACATCATGCCCCAGGGGAAATGACCACACCGTAAACCCTTCTCTATTTTCTTCTTGAGATTTTGGGCACACACCCATGAATACATGCCCAGCATGATTTTCAAGCCACTGAGTTTGGGATTTGAACTGTAGCCAAGCATGTGTGAGTCCAGCACATTAACCACCACACCACCTGCTGGCCCCATGGGGTCTTTTTTTTTTTTAATTATCCTTGTTTCTCTTAGAAGGAGAAAAACTTTGTTCCTTTGGCTAGGTGACATTTATTTATTCTTTCCTACATCAATTCATTCATGGATTTGTGCATTCATCAATTCTTATGCATATTTATTTAGTATCTTCTGCTCACTAAAATAAAAACGTTATGAAATATATCCATGGTGTAGAAACATGTGCATTCATGTACTCACATTCAGTGACAGTGAATTGTCTTGGGAGCCATCAACGGTTCACACCACCTGTATATCCCTGCAGCTTCATCTATTCATGCCCCACCTGCATTCCTTGAAAGTGTTAAATGAGACAGGAAGTTGATAAACACTTGCTTTCCTGCTTCCACTTCAGCACTTTTGGGTGTAGCCCACCTTTCCTGCTGCATCAGGTTTGCATTCTCAGAAATGTTTTCCTCTCATGGATTTCTGTTTTCCTCGTTTCCAAGAACAATAACTTATAAATTGATCCAATCTCTCTTGGACCAATTCACAGTAACACTTCTCTAGTCATTTAACCGCAACTTCCTCATTTAAGTGGAGCAATATGCGAGTTCAAGAGGCTAAAAGGAATGGGAAGAAGCTCTCACGAAAATGAAATCCTCTCCTTCTCACGGGCATCAAACAGAGGCAGGACAGAGACCAGCGAACACTAATAATTGAAATGACTGCACATCAGGCAAGTAAAGTCACGAAAGGAGAGCTTTACAATAGAGGCTGAACCCAGACTGCTTGAAAAGTCAAGAAGCAGCAGAGACACTCCAAATTCTCGGAGTTCTGGTCAGAGAGGTTGCCCCCATCTCCATGTGATTTGGGAAACAAGGGTCACCAGGTTAAGTCAAGAGAGCAATATTGTGAATATCTGGGATTGGACAAGAAGTTGTCCTGGAAGAGACTCATAAAATGTTCCATTTGGCAAGAGTCTACATAGACTACGGTGCAGAAGTTTTCAAATGTTTGTAAACAACTTTATCCTTTAAAAAAAAAAAAAAAAAAAAACTCTTCTGGAAAGCCAACTTGTAAACCAGATGAAAACACTTTTTGTATATAAGTTGAAGATGTGGCTGGTAGCTCTGTCCCTATTGCACCCACTTTGTCTCTCTTTCACTAGCAAGGCCTACCATTTTCTTCTGTCCAAAACTACAAGGGGTTTTCAAAAAATCCATAGGAAATGCACATAATGGCTCAGCCTCTGTGATATACTTGGTAGCCTATGGAACTGGAATGCTGGAAGCCACATGGTCAACCAGGGTTCAGCTCTCTGGTCCAGTCAACCCGAAATACACTGTGGGGCTGGAAAAAGGCAATCTCAGCATGACTAGACTCTGCTGAGGGGTGGGTCTCTCGCTTTTTCACTCTCATGTGTATGTACAATGCTATTAGTCATGAACTTAGAAAGAATTTAAAAGAAAATATGTATTATGGAAGAACTACCCATAGAATTCAAAAAATTTTTATACCAAAATACATTTGTATCTTAATTCTGTTTCTCCATGAGTATTTCAAAATCCCCTTGTATTACCCTAAATGCTCGAAGTGTTTTATTACATATCAGTGTTGCTGACCTGAATTAAAAACTGGGTGCTAAGACAGCTTTTGGTTAAACTTCTTTGTAACATTTAAAATTCCATTTTGGTTAGGCAGCCATCATCATAGATTCACATGGTCCTGAATCTTGAAATTTCCACTTCAGTTTTCATAGAATTTATCACCTGTGTAGTTTTTGGTCTAGTGTTAGCATATAATTATTTAAGAATAAAAAAGCAAAAATCTAGAACAGAAATCTAGGGATTAAATTCTACCAAATCTTTTTTTTTTTTTGAGAGGTTTTTGCTATAGGGCACGTGCGCTCGCCAGACAGACAGAGAGAGACATAGAGACAGAAGGTGAGAAATCACCCCCCAGGGGGGATGGTCACACCGCAATCCCTTCTCCTCCATTCTCCTCCTGGGATCTTGGGCACTCATGCACACGCGCCCGGCATGAGTTTTAAGCCACCGGGTCTGGGACGCGAACCGTGGTCGACTACATGGGAGTCCAGCGACATAGCCATTACACTAACTGCTGGTTCCCAATTCTACCAAATCTTAACAATGCCTGGATTTAGATAGTACCCAAGAAGCTCAGAACATGTTAAAATATATTTGCTCTTCATGTCCAGAGGATTTTTTTCTCTAGAAGATCCTCTTTTATAATCCCCTGTGGATATAACTTTGTGGAAATTATCCCTCTACTCCTTATCCCCTAGGAAAAAGACAGTATTAAGAAGATTGTCGTGGGACCAGCAGATGGCATAATGGTTACTTCTCTAGACTCCCACATAGTTGACTGCAGTTCGAGTCACGGACTTGGTGACTTAAAACTAATGCCAGGTGTGTGTGCGTGCGTGCGTGCCCAAGATCCAAAGAGGAGCATGGAGGAGGAGGGATTGTGGCATGGCCATCCCCCTGGGGGGATGGGGGTGATTTCTCTGATTTTTGTCTCTGTCTTTCTGCCCTAGAGCAAAACCTCTCTAAAAGAGAAAGAAAAAAAAAAAGAGGACTGTCACGTGTGTAACTGTCAGCTGATGCCTGACTCTTCCAAGCAGGCAAATTATTTCTGTGGTTTTCTTGGTTGCTTCATGCCGCCTGTTCTGAGGAAGGCCTCCAAGATGTATTTTTCCGTATTAAGTTCAATCTTGGAAATTTCAATCTTGTTCCACAGTATTATCTGCTTGGAACTTTAGCCTTTTAAATGTTCTATCTCCATTTGAGTGTCAGGTACCTTTTCTATTTCTTTTCTTTGTCATACAAGTCTTGAGATAGTCCTTAGCTTGAAACAATTTTATTTATTTATTTCCTCTGAGAAAGAGAGAGAGAACCCACAACAGAGTCTGCACTGTGATCTACCCCACCTCTCAGCCAACCTGGATCACATGCACGGGTACTCCTGGCATGTTCAGGGACATCCCAGGATGCAGACCCAGGGCTTTTCCTATGTGAGTCCAGTTGCATGACCAATGCACCACCATCTGGCTCCATTAGCCAAAAACTTTAATACTATTTTGATTTAGGAGTAGCATGGGAAAAAATTTTGTCCAATTTTCTATATTGACCCTACCCAATGCCCATGGTGTAGCTTTATGAATAACCATGTATGCCAAATACTTAAAAGCCACTTGCCATACACTGATTACTTCAGTCCTCCTGCATACCCTCCAGGAGAAATGACTGGCCCATAAACTTGATCCCAGGTCATACAGCAGATAAGTGGTATAGTCATTTGTTGAGCACAGGGTTAGGTGACTCGAGCCCAGACATGCCACATATGCACTCTTGGTAGAGAAACCTCAGTTCTGTAATAGAAAGTATTTCAAGACACTAGAACTGTTACATTAGTTCCCTCCTCTCCACAGTAATATCTCCACGACATCCCCTGGTCCTCTTCAAGATGCCAATCTCCCTTATTTCCCCTACCAAACTTCTTGAAATTACAGTTTATATTTATTACTTCAACTTAGTAGAGGTTTACAAATGATTTCTGAATGACTGAATAAATCAATGAATAAAATAATAAACCAAGAGGCTATTTCTCATTAGGCTCAATTGTCTGCAAAAAGTGTCTTAGACCACAGTCAGGTTTTTATTTTACTCTCCTTAGAGTTATTCAAATCATCACAGGAAGAATTTATGTATCTAGTGACTGGAAATTTTGACTTAGGTATATTTATTTTTGGTGATTTGCTTACCACGCTGCAACCATTTAGTCTGATGATTTTGAGCATTTATTAACTAGCCAATACTAGTTCATGTGTAAACATGTACTGAACCAATGTTTAATAAATTAAATCAACATTTAATATGTGCTAGTAGGGAGAACAGCCTTAAAACAGACTACAGACCTATGCAGCGCCAGCCCTCCTTAAGGAAGTTCAAATCCCTCCTGGGGATGGATGCTGGCTTTACCATAGCTCACTCAGACCTGTCAGTGTTCCCTCCCGGCCCTCACATCTGTGTATGGACT